CTCTGGGCCTGGGTGCTGTCCCTCAGCTCTTCAGCTCAAGGCTAGTGCTCTACCACTTGAGCCACAGCGCCACTTCCGGCTTTTTTCTTTTTGCTTATGTGGTGCTGAGGAATCAAACCCAGGGCCTCATGCATACAAGGCAAGCACACTACCACTGAGTCACCTTCCCAGCCCGGAAACATGATTTTTTATATCTTTATGTTTTCCAGTAAATCCTACTTATTGTACCTAATATTCATGTATAAAATAGGTGTTGTCCTACTCAATTAATTGTAGAAACTGGAAATAATGTCAAGCCATTTTTTTTCATCCACTTGTATACCAATAAAGGCACAGGAGGGTCATCTCTTCTAAAATTGGGTCAATACATCTACAAAATGTTTCCTAATTCATGAAGGTCCTTATGTCCAGTACCATCTATTTTCTCCTGTCCACATACCAACACCCTCTCATTGACTAATATTTCCTGCTGTCAAATTCCTTTCCTTATTCTCTTACTATAACATCAAAGACAGAAGAAAACCAGAGAAGCTAGGTTAATTATGATAGGTAATACAAGCTACGTAATAAACAGAACTCCATTTTCAGTTGTTTTAATAACACTAGGCTATTTCTTGTTTATTTAATATATATTTTTATTGTACAGATACTGTACAGAGGGTTTACAGTTACATGAGTGAGGTAATGAGTACATTTCCTATTGAGCATTGTTACCCCTTCCTGTGCTTATCCCCTACCCTCCCTTCTCTCCCCACCTCCCCAATTCCTCCTTCTCCCCCCCACCCCACACCTGAAGTTGTAAAGTTCATTTTCAACATAGTGTCTTGTACATCTCATAGTTACGATGGGCCAAACTGTATCCCTATTTAGCATTTTGTTTTCCTTTCCCCTCCCCAAATTAGAAAAATGTATATACAAGATGCAGGGCACCAGAATCAAATACAGTGAAAACAGGGGTTATACCGTGGGGGAGGAACATAACAAAGAAACAAAAAAAAAACTCATAGTGCATTATAAATACATTTAAAACAATAGCAAGAAAGAAAAAAACACTATCTTGAGGCTCATTTCACTTAACATAATCTTACATATGTACATAGTTTTTGACTTTTTCTGCTTGTCCTGGACATATACTAGTTATTGCAAATAAGGGAAACCATGGGACCTATGTTTCTTTGGGCCCGGCTTTCTTCAATTAATATAATTTTTCCAAGTCTTTCCATTTCCTAACAAATGGGCAATGTCATTCTTTCAGATGGAGGCATAGAATTCCATTGTATAAATATACCACATTTTGGGCTGGGAAGGTGGCTCAGTGGTAGAGCGCTTGCCTGGGTTCGATTCCTCAGCACCACATAAGCAAGAAGAAAAAAGCCGGAAGTGGCGCTGTGGCTAAAGTGGTAGAGGGCTAGCCTTGAGCTGAAGAGCTGAGAGACAGCGCCCAGGCCCAGAGTTCAGGCCCCATGACCGGACCCAAAAAATAAATAAATAAATTGAATAAATAAAAAATATACCACATTTTCTTGATCCATTCATCTACTGAGGGGCATCTGGCTTGGTTCCATAACTTAGCTATGGAAAATAATGCTACAATAAACATAATTGTGCTGGTAGCTTTAGTGTGGTCTTGTTGTGATCATTCAGGTAAATACCCAGTGGGATTGCTGGGTCATAGGGGAGCTCTATGTGGAGTCTTTTGAGGAAACTACATACTGTCCAAAGCAGAGATTTTTAACCTATGTCTTCATGTTTGTGCTCTCAGGAAATCTATGAAATCTGCAGCTGTTTGACAAACATTATATTCACAGATATGTTCATTTTTCTAAGGAAATATTCCATGGATGCAATTAGGTTTCAAAAGGTACATACCCCAAAGAAACATTAAACTAATGCAAAGGATCAAGAATGCCTGAACAGATATGGTTAAGAGATGTAACTCGTGCTTTATAATGCCATTTAGTGAATTCTGATATCCTAAAGCATTTCAAAAACAAAACTGTCTCACTATATTTTGCTGATTTGCCTTGTTTTGAAATGATTTAGAAATTTTTTCCCTTTTATACTACATACTTTTGACATCTAACTCCATAATTACATTATTGCAAATTATCTGCTTTCAGACTTAAAATTCCTTGCCTAAGCAATTACTGTCTTCTTAATTTTGCATGTTTATTTTTATCTAATCCCACTGACTGCTCAGTTTCCTAGCTAGGGCATGCCCGATTTCACTTTGAGGTTGGATGCATGCCTACAATAAGTAATGCAGTCAGTGTGAGGTCCCTGAGTCACCTGATATCCAGACAGTCACAAACAGTGATTCAATTTGAATGAGCTGTTTGCTAGACGCATATTCTAGACTGACAATAGAACACAGGTCTACTATCTAAGCCCAGACATAAAGGTGGCATAAAATTCAACTCTATCTCTACTGAAAAAAAAAATGTTTAAGAAGATCATGGGTTCTGTCTCTGTCTCTGTCTCTCTCTCTGTCTCTCTCTCTGTCTCTCTGTCTCTCTGTCTCTCTCTCATACATGAATCCGCTTGAATATTTAATGTTCTCCCTTCAAAATTGTAAAGCTCTATTGGGAGTGGGTATCGGTATCACAGGAACATGGGGATTTGGAAAGGAAATAGTGAATAGAGATGAATATGGTATAAAATGGAACCATAAAACCTGTTAAAATTACTTTAAGAAGGGAGGAAGAGAAGTAATGGCAAGTAACAGTGGGACAGTTTGATAGGATGTATTATACACACATGTGGAAATGCCACAATAAAACTCCCCATATAACTAATGTTTAAAATCTTAAATAAAGGGTTGGGAAGGTGGCTCAGTGGTAGAGTGTTTGCCTTGCATGCATGAGGCCTTGGGTTCCTCAGTACCACATAAGCAGAAAAAGCCAGAATGGCATTGTGACTCAAGTGGTAGAGTGCTCACCTTGAGCTGAAGAGCTGAGGGACAGTGCCCAGGCCCAGAGTTCAGGCCTCGCAACTGAAAAAAAAAATCTTAAAAAAATAAGTAAATAAATACAATTGATAACAGCAAAAAAAAAAATGTGAGCTCCATCAAAGCAGAGATATTTATTCCCAGGGACTGAAAACATAGTAGGGAACAGAAAGTGACTTTGTTAAATAATGAGTTGGAGTGACAGATTAACTGAATAAGAACTTGCTTATGAAAACTCATGAGATACAATTGCCAAAATATTTGTTATTTTATTAGAAATCAATGCCACAGAAAAGAAAAGTCAAGAACATAACTAAAGTTGCTTGTCTCACATCCCTTAACATTAATGTTGCATTGCCTCTTGACTCAGCTCAATCTTTACTGTGTTAATCTCCATTTCACTAGTCACATTTATTCTCTCAAAATCCATCTAAGCTGAAACTCTCTGAATTCAACTCAGTTTTGCTCCAATATCCCATAGTAAGCAACCCTCACCTTTGTTCATCAACATGCAGTCACCATCTTATGCTTTGCAATAGCATAAGCATAGAAAATCTAAGACAAGGCCCCAGTTCAAGAGAAATTGCAAGAAAATAATGGAGTCATACAGATCAAGTGCCAAAATATGTAACAGAAACTAACTCATTAAACTAGGTTCCTTTCTAATTCTGTCTTCCTTGCTTCATTTTGTTCCACTTACAGGAAGTAGTAATATCACTCTAGATTCAAGTCCTTGATCTGCCTGGGTACTCTCTTGCTTCTTAATAGTCTTCAAAAGCCAGCTCAATGCTTACCTCTCCCTTTACATTTCCCTGTCTTCTACCCCAATATATGGAATCCTTCAAACTGGTGCAATACTCCTAGCATTCCACTTACCACAGGTGTTATTACTGTTAGCCTTTGTTGCCCATCCTAGACAATTTGTTTCCCCTTCCTATCAAAGTATCAGGCAGTCGCCAATGAATGTTTCATCATTTCAGTCCATTTTTCATTAACAGACACTCCATAATGTTAAAAAAATCTTATTAATAAGAAGAGACAAAGATCAAGCCACACATGTGAAATCTTGACACGTTCATCCTGGATTTGGTTTCAGAAATTGTTAAACAGACCCCACACACACCTGAAGGTCCTATGGATAGCCTTTGGCTATTTTTTGTGAAAAAATCAGCAGATTCCATGATTTTGCTTACGTTATAACACCATTTCTGGCTATTTGAAATGAAGCATACTATTCCACATTTCCAGAAGGCACATCTTTTAAAATAGGATTGACAACAATAACACATGCAGTATAATTCTCACATGTGCAAAAACATTTTATGAAGACATTTACTGTAATACTTTCGTAATTATAAAATAAAATAGTAAATGATTAACTGTCCATAACAAGGAAAAGGTAATTTAATGGCCATTAAATAAATGAAATTTGTCTATGTTTGTTTACATATAAAGTTCATTCTTGTTTTTAAAAATGAAGTAAATTAAAGAGAAATATATGTTAGAGATTTCACATTTTTATATAAAGACTAGCCCATATCCTTGTGTTTGACTTTTATGTTTATTCTCACATGATAAAGCAAGTAATTTTGTGAAAGAGATGGAGGTAGAGAAGTATTTTAATCTTTCATTGTCTGCACTTTGAAATTACACAAAGCAAGTCTCCCTGAAACCTTGCAGGCAACAGGTAAACATTGGGTAATATTACGTCTACAGCTAATAACCCACCTAATGAAGTGTTGGGAAATGAAAGAAACCAAATGATTTCACCAACAGCTAAATCCTGATTGGCTTCTCAAGTGGCCCATCTCCTAGAGCTGAGTTTAAATTCCTTTCAAATCATCAAAAGATAAAATTTTTAACCAGAGTAAACTAGAGAAGTCATCTGGATTTTGAATATCACTTCACCTGTACGTTTTGCCTCGTGAAACAAAGGTAACATTAATTGGCCATCTTTCAAGTAGAATGTTCATGTTTTAAGGTATTATCTTCTCTCAAAAGAAAACAGAATGAGAGTAATATTGTTTGGTTCTTCTAGGTAGCAATTTGAAATATGAAGACCGCTATTCTGCTGTTTTGTCTTCTAGGATCAACTCAGTCACTACCAGTAAGTACAATGTATTCGTTTTATGTTCCAAACATTCTCAGTTTCTCAGACCCTTTGTCCTTCAGTTTTCCATCAGAACTTACTCTGCTCTGTAATCCAGGGGTTTTTTTAGGTTTCTGATTCAATTTTTCAAGGCAAAGATAAACTAATCAGGTGTTAGTTCATATTTCAATACTTTGCATTTCTTAAAATGCATTAATTCTAATCTTGATGAAGCAGAAATATAGACATAAAAGACAAAAGAATGACTTGGATCATATTAACATAAACTTAAACTATATAATTGTTTTATTTTCTAAGCAGAATTTAAGGTTTTCATGACCACTAGATATTTGCTCATGACTAAAGAGGTAAAGTAACAAAACATGTAGATTACATGAACTCTAAAAAGATTACCAAATTCTATGATGCCAAAAATACATTACAAAGTAGTCAATGCTTCTGACCTAAAAATGTTTCTCATGAAAAGCATTCACATACAATAGGCTTTTGAAAGGATTAGGATACAATAAAGAAAATGAAAGAAAAAGAGAGATAATCCCTCACGATGTTCACAAAAATGTCAAGTATCAATCAAGGAATTGTTTTAAAGGAATGTTAAATGATAAATATCTGTGATGAACTCTGGAAAGGAAGGGTGAGTAATCGAAGGATGGAACAAAATATGAATGACCAATCTCCTTCTTCCATTATACATATACATGTCCTCACTAAAATAAACTATTCATATAAATTTAGTTTTTAAGACAAAGTACAGAGCTGGGCATGAGTGGCTCATACCTGTAATCCTACCTACTCAAGAGTCTGAGATCTGAGAATTGTGGTAAGAAGCCAGCCTGAGCAGGACAGTCCATGAGACTCAGCTCCAATTAATCACCAGAAAACCAGAAGTGGTGCTGTGTTTCAAAGTGGAAGAGTACTATCTTTTTTTTTTTTGGTCATGGGGCTTGAACTCTGGTCCTGGGCACTGTCCCTCAGCTCTTCAGCTCAAGGAGAGCACTCTACCGCTTGAGCCACTTGAGCCACAGCACCACTTCCGGTTTTCTGGTGGTTAATTGGACATTAAAGTCTCCAGGACTTCCCTGCCTGGGCTGGCTTTGAACCGCAATTACAGGTGTGAGCCACCCATGCCCAGCTAAGAGTACTAACCTTAAGAGAAAAAGCTCAGGGGCAGTACCCAAATCCTGAGTTGAAGCCCCTCAACAGCCAAAGGAAAAAACAAGCACAGTAGGAAAATATTTTGTAAAGCTGATTATCTTACCTCATTAAATAAATTTACCAAAAAACTCTTTTAAAAGAAAGTTCCTCTAGCACATTTTAAAGTCAAATAAAATTTTGTATCATTCATCTACTGAGGGGCATCTGAGTTGGTTCCATATCTTAGCTATGGTAAATAATGCTGCAATAAACATAGTTGTGTTGGTAGCTTTAGTATGCTTGGTTGTGATCATTCGGGTAAATGCCCCAAAAGTGGGATTACTGGGTCATAGGGGAGTTCTATGTGGAGTCTTTTCCAGAAGCTCCATACTGCTTTCCAAAGTGGTTAAACAAGTTTACACTCCCAGCAACAATGCAGCAGGGTTCCCTTCTGTCCACATCCCCTCCAGCATCTGTTGTGATTAGAGTTTTTTATTATTCCATTCTAACTGGGGTGAGGTGGGATCTCAATGGATCAAGAAAATGTGGTATATATACACAATGGAATTCCATGCCTCCATCAGAAAGAATGAGATCACCCATTTGTTAGGAAATGTAAAGACTTGGAGTAAATTATACTAAGTGAAGTAAGCCAGGCCCAAAGAATCATAGGTCCCATGGTTTCCCATATTTACAATAACTAGTATATGTCTGGGACAAGCAGAAAAGGTCAGATAAGGTGATGTTAGGTGAAATGAACCCCAAGATGGGAACACAAGTGGTTTTTTCTTTCTTGCTATCATTTCTAATGTATTTATAAGGTATCATGCGATTTTTTTGTTGCTTTGTATGTCCCTCCCATATGGTAAACCCCTGTTTTCACTGTATTTGATGTTGGTATAATTTGGGGAGCGGAAGGGAAAAAAAACAAAATATTTAAATAGGGATACAGGTGGACCCATTGCAACAATGAGATGTACAAGAAGCTATGTCGAAAAATGAACTTTACAATTTAGGCAGGGAAGGGAGGGTAGAGTTGAGGAGGTGGGAGGGAAGGGATGGTAGAGGAAAAACAAAGGAGGAGGCAACAATGCTGGATAAGAAATGTACTCGTTACCTTCTTCATGTAACCGTAACCCCTCTGTACAGTATTTTCACAATAAAAAACTTATTTTAAAAAAATAAATAAAATTTTGTAGCAGCAGACATCTCGTGAAAAGGAGACTGATAAGTAGAGTATAGCCTAATGAAGATTGTTAGTAGCCAATAATGTGAGAACAGCTAATGGTTGACCAATGGGTTTGACATTGAAATGTCTGCTAGGTATGAAAATTATATTAATGTTGCTCAGTGGGTTAGACATTAAACTGTCTGTTAGGTAAGAGAAATATATTTATCAAATAAAAGATCAAGAGATATGAGCAAAGTGTTTTATATAAATGAATTTTGTATTCTAAGGGGGGGGGGGGAAGGACCCATTTTGAACAACCTAGTGATTTTTTTCAATAGATCAAAAGTTTGAGGATGAGTGCCAGATGGCAAATACTATAAGTAGAAAGAAAGGAAATAAGATAACTCAAAAGTCAGGAAGTAAATGACCCAGAAAACTAGGATATCTTTTTTTTCTTATAGTATTGAGCATTTGAAATGAGGGCCATGTGCTTAGCTAGGGAAACATTGATTCTCTTGACAAATTTGTTGGGTGCCTACTGTTTTCCAGACACTGATTTATCTGCTTGGGATATATCATTAAATAAATCACAGCATTTCTACCCTTGTAAAGTTTGTATTTCGAAAGGGAGGAAATGATAAATGATAACAATCCTGAATCTGTAGATTACAAACATGTTAAAAAGGTGATAAACACTACAGAAAAAGCACATATGATGGTACTAGATGAAGCAGGCCTGTAGAGAGTGCACACTGGAGAGAGGGAAAGTTACATATCTGGGTGAGTGGTCAAGATATGTTCAAGAATGTGAATTCAAAAATACCTTAAAGTAGATGAGGGAGTAAACTCATATCTAGAAGAGTATACCAGTCAGGGACAAGTGGAGGTGAGATCCTAAGGCAAGAGTGGGCTGTATCTACCCCCCAAAACAGGGAGCCTGGTGAGCCAGATCACAGTGAGAGAGAAAGCAGTGGAAAAGCAAATCAGAAAAGAATTAGAGGCTCAGAGCTCTAGTTATAGCTTTTACTCTTAGAGCTCTTGGCAGTCATCTGTGGCTCTGAGCAGAGAAATGACAAAAATAGACTGTTCCCAAAGGTTCTTACTAGCTGTTGTATTAAAAATAGACTGTAGTGAATAAAAAGATTTATTCCCAGGATATATACCTTCATGTTCCTAAATCTAAAACTAGAGATTGCCAAGGATTGGTAATGCGAACATTCCTCTTACAATGAAGAGGAAAAATACAAAGAGAAATCAAGAGTTAGAACTAATACAGAGAACAGTCAAGATCACCCAAGGATTGGAATAGTACCAGATAGAGCCATGTTCCCCTATTTCTGGGATGCAAGCAAGACAAAACCAATCTGAGACCAGCCTCAAAGAGAAGTTCTTTTTCAAAGACTATAGCTACAAGAAGCCTGGTGTTTTTATCATGTCACCTTGAGCAGGCTAGTTGGCCTCTTTCATATATTAGACAAATTTAGTCAAAATTATATGGGAAACAAAGACATTTCCATCCCTGAAGTTAGTGATTCTTAATGCACTAAGAAAATATCCTGAACGAGGCAATCTTTTACCTTCTAGACATAAATAAGTATAAAACTTCAAACATATTTTTCTTTTATCAAATATTTGAATTCACAGAAGCAACCTAACCCCACTTTGGGATATCCTCCAACAAAACCAACTCCAGAGCAGGTGACACTACTGAACCAACAGCAATCACATCAGGTAAGCATCCAAGAATAGACAAGATCTTAATCCAGCAAAGAAAGCACTTCAAGATTGATGGATTTAAAAAAATCAAGATTTACAAGTTAGTATCATAACTGAACAAGAGAGCGAGAACTTCCTTTTGGGGAGAATGAAAGATGTAACCACTTTTCTATTTCCTTTTTTTGACTAAAATTAGCACAGCACTATTCTCTTTCCTTTCGTCTTAATAATACTTTGTTTTAAACTAAATCTAATAAACTTTGAAAAGCCATAGCAGCACCTACTTACAAACTTTGGACCTCTATATTCATGACATAGTGTGACATATGTTATGTAGTATTTAAAGAAATAGAGGAGAGTACGAGGTAATCTATAAAAACAACTTTAAATTTTCTCCTGGTTTTAAATCATTTGTTTCTGATAAGCTTAGTGTTGCTTTAAAAATCTATTTCTTCAAAGCATAGTTTTGAGAATTATCTCTTAGCTACTATGTTCCTTCCCTTCCAACCTTCCTCTGCTACAAAGATCCCTTATTTACATCAACACTTGATGAAATACTATAATCAACTAATACCATAGTCTAATGTTTTCTTTTTGTTCAATGGACATTATCAGACACTCAAGTCAGGAGCCAATATCTTTCCTTAAGGAACCTGCAGCTTATACAATTTCTTTAAGAAAAAGAATACAAAATTAGTATGTATAATTATATCCTGAAGTGAATGTTTATAATGAAATAAGAAATAGAAGTAATTCAGTTGATATATGCCATAAACTTGACCCACTTCTAGAACACCTACCAGGAGCACAAAAAAAAGAACAATAAGGCTTACTAGAACAATGGAAGTATAATGAGAGACTCTGAAGCTTCACCTTCATTATTCTAATGGCAAACACATCTCTGGCAAGAGTATAGATTTCTTGAGAATATCTACTATTGACAGAGTAGCAGCAACATAAACTTGCCTAATACATCAATTTCAATGCCCTGCAGGTCTTCCCTTCTTTAAGTCTAATACCATTAACACACTTGTTCACCCTGGGGTCAGATCTGCAACTGGTAAGTACTCTTTTATATTATTTTAATGCCAATTAAACATAATACCTGATGCTGAACATGAAGGAAGGCAAGGAATTGGACATTTCCATGTGTAAATACACACTTATTCACTGTAAATAACTGAAAGAGAGGAGCAAGAGCCAATCCATCCTACAAAGATTTTTTAGTGTTAATTAATCTAATTTTTCAACTCTTTTCTTCTTCAGTCCCTCTCATCTCTTCTCCAAGTTCCTGACTTCGTTCCTTTATTTGATACTCCCAAATCCCCACAGCCACATTAAAAACTATTATCACTATTAAAACCCCAACAGCAAGAACAAACCATAAAATAGGATAGATGTCTTTAGTCCTCGCAGAGTTTGTAGAGTTTAATTTATTTAAGGATGGAAAATACATTACTGATTAAAGTATATCTTTCCAGTGCTCAGATTTAAATGTTATGACTCATGTTCCAGATTAGATATTTTATTCTTCACCCTGCAATTTTCATGGGAATACCTATGAAAATTCACTTCTTCCAAAAATAAATAGATAAATAAAGTTACCAGGAAAATTCCAAGAGTCCTTGCTGTTTTAGCCAGAAAGGCAAAGCAGTAGGGAACAAAACCACATTATTTTCAAAGAGATTGAGTTAATTGCCATATAATAATTAGCTATGGAAAATAAAGTAGCAATGAAACCTGTTCTTTTTTTCAGATTAAACAAATCTTTGGATTCAACTCTGTATCTAATTACACATGCAATAGAATATTATGTATTTACATTTAAAATCCTCTCTTTAAATATGTTTTTAAATTTACTAAGTATGTTTTAGTATCATGGATATTCAAATGTAAAACATAGCAATACTAATCATGAAAATCTTCTCCATTGCCTTACAGTTCAATCATGCCACTGGAATAGCCCCTGGAACACATACTCTCCCAGTGACCCTGGGAGCATTGAACGGACAACAGCAGCTACCATCACAAGTGAGTTTAACTATTGGACTTCATTTTATCCTTAGACAACACTTTCTCACAAGTGAAGCTTATAAGATTGAAATGAACATACAAACATATATAGATAGATAGATACTCGATGCATATATACATATACACACATATATGTGTATATATACACATAGTATATATTTGGAGAAACTGAGAGGAAATAAGATTTATTGCATTCTAATATATTGTTTTCTATTCAAGACTTTCAGAAGAGAGTTAGATACTATTCAATACATCTTAAAAGGTTTCCTTAGTGAAATAATGGATCTAATTTCTCAAGTATTCTTCTCTTTTCTAAGTTTCTGTCCAATTCTTCCATCATAACTTCTTTGATGCTGCCTAAAGCACAAGCAAAGTCATCCCCTCAAAAAAAATTAAAAAATAAAGAAGTTCATCTTCAGCAAATCTAATCTTTCCTTGTACTCTTTTTTCATGCCTATTCAAAAAAAAAACTCTAAGAGATTTCAAGTTACTTACGTTTAGTAAAACTCCTGGAAATGTCTCTTATACTGAGATAGAAACAACATATTTAAGATACCGTCCCTTCTTTGGAAATATTTGCATTATAATGTTAATGTTAATAAAATCAAATTTTTACCTTCTTAAAACTGTTATACGCCATTCAACAAGCTCTAGAGAAAAATACGATAATCCTCTTATGGTTACATTAAGTTTTGTTTGGGGGTACCTATTCTTCCCACTATGTAACCTCAGTCCTGTTATCTCCATAAGATTATATCATTATTTTTGTCAAACCATTTTGCTTATTATTCAATATGTTAGTTAAAAGGAATTTATAAAATACATATAAACCAGAAGAAACAATAAAATTCCTCCAAAATTCTATCACCATTAACATAGAAGTAGGAAGATTGAGGAGATAGAAGTAGGAAGAGTGAGGTCCAAGTCTAGCCAGGACAAAAACGAGAGACTATATTGGAAAAACAAACTAAAATGTAAAAGACTGGGAACGTGACACAAGTAGTAAAATGCTCGCCTAAGAAGCATTAGACCTTGAGCTCAATCACCAGTACTAAAAAGAATTGAAAATAATACATTTTTTATTTTATTTATATCTTTAAATGGCTGTACAAATGAGTTTCCATTTAACAAAATAATATATATGTTAATATAAAAATCTGGGTAATAAAATTCATCTTCTAAAAAGATATTAGAAACATGCAAATGAGAACTTCTTTAATGCATAATCCTGGTATAATCCATATTCTGTCTGCCACCCTCAGTCTATGTGAACCTTGAAGTCAGACTTAAAGCTTCTTAATCCTCAGAAAACATTTACCCACTACTGTTAAAGATATTAGTGTCACTGTACACGTCACCAAAAAAGGAATTGTATTGAGAATCTAACATTGCACACTTCCCAATGTGCAAGAATGTAAATCAATCTCAGTTCTCTGTGAGATAGTTTAATATCCCTAGGCTATGATACCCTATCTCTTGAGCAACTAGTCTTCCAATCCAATTTCTCTCCCTATTAAGTAGCTCACTTTCTCTGTCAAAAACCTACATATCTTTTCCTTGTGCCAGTGGCTCATGCCTGTAATCCTAACTGCTCAGGAGTTTGAGATCTGAGAATAGCGTTTCAAAGCCAGTTCAGGCAGGAATGTCTGTGAGAACCTTATCTCTAATTAACCACCAAAAAAGCTATAGGTAGAGCTGTGGCTCCAGAGTAGAGTGCTAGCCTTGAGTTTAAAAAAAAAGCTCAGAAACAGCACTCCACCTCTGCGTTTAAGCCCCAAGACCCCACACACACACAAAAAATCTTACATATCCGTTAGCTCCAAATTATCAAATAAAGGCCACCCTGGTTAAGACAGGGCTCTATAAACATGCAACCCTTGGTTCCATGCATGGTAGGCAAGCACTCTACCACTAAGCCACATTCCCAGTCCTAGAGCCAGCTTTTTATTATAACTTTTAATTATCTTTTTTTTTTTGTTTGGTCAGTCATGGGTCTTGAACTCTGGGCTTGGGCACTGTCCCTCAGCTCTTCAGCTCAAGGCTAGCGCTCTACCACTTGAGCCACAGTGTCACTTCTGGTTTTCTGGTGGTTTATTGGAGATAAGAGTCTCATGGAGGTTCCTGACAGGGCTGGTTTTGAACTACAATCCTTGGATTTTAGTCTTCTAATTAACTAGGAGTACAGATGCCCAGCATCAATTAGCTTGTATGAGCAATTTTAATTTAACGTCAGATCAATGAATCTTTCATCACTGTAACTCCAGAATCATCTTTAAATATATTTTTACTTAATTTTCCTCTCTTTCTATTCAGATGTTACCAATTATTGTAGCATCACTTGGAGCCCAGGTAAGATTATTTTAATAATTCCTTCATTGTAAATTACCTTGGTGTAAAATATTAACCTTGTCCAAGTCAGCACTTAGTCACAAGCTTCTAACTTGCTTTACACTGTATGGCCCCTGATAATAAGAAGAGCTAACAATAATTGAGCACTGTCAATGTGCCAACTATAGTTCTAAGTACTTTACATATATCGCTTCATTAAACATTGGAAAAGGTCTTGAAGACATTATTTTATATCAAATATGAAGATCAGTAGAGATTTATAACTACTCAGTTCTAGTCAGCCAATCAATCCTCTGAACATAAATGTTAAAGAAAGAAAATAATGGGATTAATTTAATAGTTTATGATTTAGGAAAATTCTTTTTTAATCCCAAATATTTGAACAATGAATCTCTTTTCTAAAAATGTTCAAATACTTTATGTCTTTTCTTCTTCCTTTTGTGAAAGTAATTCTTAGCTGATATAACTATCAGGGTCAAGATCAATATTTGCATTGGGTGACAGCTTTCACTCCTAAAAACCACAATCAAATATAAAATTCCCTTGAACTCCTATTCCACATTTTGGACCATATCCCAAGAAAGCAATCTGAACAATATGTTCATCAAAACAATATTTGTAATAAAGAAAAATATGGGATATAACTTTCCTACAGTACTTGGGTTTGAACTCAGTTCTTGCCTTTCTCTACCACTTGAACCACGTCTCTAGCCCTTTTATGCTTTAGTTATCTTTTAGATAGATTCTCCTGATTTTTCCTTGAGCTGTTCACATTCTTGTACACCTGCACCTCTCTGATAGCTGGGATTACAGACTTAAACCACTGTATTGTTGTTCCTTGAGATAACATCTAAGAGTAACCTTAAACGTTAATCTTCCTTGCTGAAATATCTTCTATCTCTAAATACCTAGGATTACAGGTGTGAGCTACTTCGCCCCACTAGGACATACCTGAAGTTTAAGAACAAAAACAGATGGGAAGGGCAAACAAAGGAGGAGGCTACAATGCTTGATAGGAAATGTACTCATTATCTTGCCCTTGTAATTGTAACCCCTCTGTACAGTATTTGCACAGTAAAAAAAATAAAAATTACAAAAAAAACAAAAACATAGTTCAGCAAACAACAAAACAAGAGCAAATACTATATGGCTATCTAAAATTATGTTCATTAATTTTTTTCAGTAATACAGTTAAGGGATTATTATAGAATACTAAGAGAAAAGCCAAAAATGCATGAGTATTATGTAAAATAAGAAATATATCAAAAACAAGTGGAAAGAGTTCATGAATCCTAAATGGTAAAATTATGTCTTTTGCTTTCTCTATTACTCTGCATTCTCCAAGTTTCCTCCAATGTGTTTCTATTTCTTAATAGCAAAAAATATTAATGACCTCAATTAATAATCATTAGCAGTCATACATTTATGCAGGTCACAAAAAACAAATTGACAGGGCTGGGAAGGTGGCTCAGTGGTACAGTGCTTGCCTTGCATGCATGAGGCCCTTGATTTAATTCCTCCGCACCACATAAGCAGAAAAAGCCAGAAGTGGCGTGGTGGCTCAAGTGGTACAAGGCTAGCCTTGAGCTGAGGAGCTGAGGGACAGTGCCCAAGCCCAGAGTTCAGGCCCCACGACCGACCAAAAAAAAAATTAACATTGTTCAAAATAAAAACAATCTCTCTTTATAATATTTAAGTTTTTAATTTGTGTTATATATCTTGCCTTTAAAATATTAAACATTGTATAACACCTTGTGTTTATAATTTTATTTTTAGGGTGCTATCCTAAGCTCAGAAGAATTGGTAAAAAAGAATTTATCACTTTCATTTTCAATTCTGTTCATTTCCCCCACAATGTTTTCTGTCCTCTCATAGTCTCTCTTGACTATAATCCCTGACTCTGGTGTACACTTCAATAAGTTAAATATTTTTATACAGCCTTAAATTCGTTTATTCTTTTTCTGAGGATTTCATTATTCTTCTCCAGTTAGTTTTCCATTTACTTGACCTAACATTGATTTTTTTAATGTATTACCATTAGATTCAAGTGTTTAGAGATTTAACATTTTTAACTTTATTAAAACCTAGAATAATATACTTCAGAAGTATGTGCATACAAAAATATTGTTTATTTCTAGAAAGATTGAATTTGTTGTATTTTAATTTTGTATGAGAAAATACTTTTCTAGCATCTGAGAGTAATAGATGAACTTCTTAATGCACTTGAATAACTTGAAAGTTATACTTAAATAAACTTCCTGTCACCATTAGTAAGCCCCTGTACACAATCATTCATAAGCATGTTTAGAGCAAATTGCTTGCATTAATATACTTAAACATGACAATAGAAATAAGAAACTGATGCAAAATATGGAGACATTTTTATTATGCAAAGGCATATATTCACTATATTGTCCATAGGTAATAATCAAGTTATGGGTCCAGTATCTCTTTTGCCAACAGTGATAGAGTAGGAATAGAAAGACTAGATTAGGATCCAAACAGATAAAAAGTATACCAGTGATTTTCAAACTTTTTTGTTGTTGTTTAACACATAGTAACAATTACATTTTTAATGCAGCTTGAAAATGCACATATGGACACACACCCAATTTCATGAAACAATACAGTGCACTCTGGTAACTTAGAGTTTCTTCTGCTTAATTTTTAATGATTGTTATCACTCACTTTTCTGTCAAAATGATACTATACTTCTTTGCTCATCCAGCCTAAGTCTAGTTCTGGTTTCAGTATTTCTTTGGTCTAAAACAATGTTCCCCAAACTTCAGACTTGCCCTACCAACTCAAGATAGCTTTAAGAACTATAATTCAGGCCTGCACACTCAGTATCTCTCTAACAACAGAAAACTCCAAAAGAGAGTTCCTTCAGCAAACTCAAAAGCATATGTCTGAACTGCCAAGAGAAATATTTCTGCCTGGAAACTCCAATGCCTTTGAAAAATACATAGAAATAAACTCTAAAGAGTTTATTTATCATCATGAGAACAATAATTTGTTAATTTACTGGAACTAATTGTTTCAACAACTTTTAGTGTCATATTACTTTTTTAAAAATTTATAGGCAAAAGAAAGGCTAGATTTTAGATCAACAGAGATACGGCTTATCACTGCTGTATGGATTTTCTGTCTTGGTATTACATTCAGATAATAACAAATTAGACATCATTTCTTTTCCCATGACTGGTTTCCCATTTCTGAAGGAAATGAAGCCCATCACACAATCCCAACAAAGAAACCAGCACAAGGCTTTGCTCTAGTAAGGGAGATATGTCCTCTCAGGAGATACCTCCACCATCCTGACTTTCCTACTCCAACTTCCGGCCCTCCAAAGAGAAAAGACTGGTCAACCAACCTTAAAATGTGTTCTTTTTTATTTTATTTTCTATTTCTTCCCCTTATTGCAGCCACTAGCCTCACAAATCTTCACAGGCCTCCTCATTCATCCCTTGTTCCCTGGAAACATCTTGCCCACCAGTCAAACTGGGCCTACTCCAGGTGCTCAGGATGGAGTCTTCCCTGCAGGACAAGCAGGAGTAAAACCTGCCATCCAGGGAACCACAGAGAGTCACATCTCAACTCCCAGTGTCACAGATGATGACTTTGGAGGGACAACCCCTGCAGGCATCCGAAGGGGCATGCACACTACTGTGGAAGAAACCACTGCAGACTGACCAAACAGTAAGTCCTCCCATCCTTCAGCCATGAAAGACATCTGTCCTGCCTTGAAAAAAAACAAATCTTAATACAATCAGGGAGCACTGCCGGCTCACTCACAGTTAATTCAAATCATGTGAAGGAAACTTTTTATAGACAAGTTTATTCTAATAAATTCAAAGAGAAACATGAAATTGCATTCCAACTGGTAATGCAAGTTGTTTATTCCTATAAATAATAAGAAATTAAAATCAAGACAATAGTGTCATGTACTGTAATACCAACATTTATTAACTATTTTAGGAATAAAGCTGATAAAAAAAATTCAAGCTTTGTGTCCCAGGAAATTAAAAATACACTGACAGATATGAAAGATGATATTAAAAATGAAGCCTTAGAAGGTTCACTGGCTGGAAATCATAATATTAAGATGTCAATTATCCTCACACTGATTTATGAATTACATGCAATTGTAATGCAATATCCCAGCAAAAATTCTGAGGAATTTTATTCATGCTGATACTGAGGCTTGAACTCAAGGTCTCATGCTCTAACTCAGCTTTTTCATTCATAGCTAGCACTCTATCAACAGAATTATCTTATTTCATTTTACTGTTATTTTACTTTATTGAAACTGACAAGCTAACTTATGGAAATGCTAAGATACAAAGAGCCAAAAAACTCAGAACAACAAAGTTTGCCTTTATATTAGTCACACTTCATCTCTGTGGCTAAATAAATACCTGAAAGAACAATTCAGGGAAGGAATAATTTGCTTTAGCTCATTATTTCAGAGGATTTAGTCAATTCACTTAACTTTGAGCTTCTGAGGTTGTTAAGTCATGGTGAACAGGAATCAGAATAGATGAAAGGACCCAGGAACATCGTCTAACATGAAGGGATGTTTTTATTAGGCTATTTGCCCTATGCCGTTGACCCTAAAGAAGATGTGTAACTGTTGCCATGAATTGTCATGATGTATTTTCCAACTTAGGTCAGAATTGGATGAATTTGGAAGTAGACTGTACTTCTTCCTCTATCCCCTAATACACACACCATAAAAGACACATTTCAGCTCATCATGACTATTTCTCAGTGCAGTGATTAGAATGAGCCACAGAACTTAAATAATAGTAGAAGCAGCTACTGGTAATGGGCTATAGTTAGATGAGTCAAAAAATCCATCTGCATTCCCCACAGAGGTTTAAAGAAATGTAGTAAAAATAAGCTTCTCAAATGCTAAGTAGCAAAGACAAGTATTTTTAACATATGAGTACATGAGCCAAATATTTTCTGATTAGAAACAAAATGATTTGATGTATTAATATTTCTGAAAATGAAACGATCTCATTTTTGTTTTTCAAGAAGGTTTTTGATGTTAAAACTCAATATGCTTATATCTACATTTAAGAGATATTTTGTTTTCTTCTAGGAATTGAGCAAACTATTTGAAATTTCTTCAACTAAACAACTTTGAGTTTGCTGATACATGAGCATCTTTTTAAGTAATGATTCCATGGAATTGATTGAGACCCACTGAACAACCTCAGATGAAATTCTTATATTATCTGAAAACTTAATGGAAATTTCAGGAAGTATATTAAATGTAGAAAATACTAACCTCTGAAAAATAATAAATGTATTTGTCTTTGAAATGCTACAGTATGCTTCAGAACTGAAGTATGCTCATTAAAACATATTTTGAAAACTGATTCTTTTCTTCCTTGGGGAAAGAAGAAAAATGGATAACTTCGGAAATTATGTTACCCTGAGAAAGTTCCATGTCATATTAGATTTAGGACTTTCTTTGGAGTAAGGGACACTTTGGTCAAAGAAGAGGACAGCCAACAATATGACATATTTCAGTCTCCTTTCAACTACCTCTTCCATAAAAGACACAATTTTTACTTTAATTTTCAATTAGCAAATTATTGTGATTTATAGCACAGTGTTCTTAAGTTGCTTTTTCTTAAGTTGCTTTACAATCAAAGTTAGTGATTATGGCATTTACTTTTTGTATCTCTGAAAGTCATAGGCATTGATAAAAAAAAAAAGTAATCACTAGGCCTGGGAAGGTGGCTCAGTGGTAGAGCGCTTGCCTTGCATACATAAGCCCCTGGGTTGGATTCCTCAGACCACATAAGCAGAAAAAGCCAGAAGTGAGGCTGTGGCTCAAGCAGTAGAGCTCTAGTCTTGAGCTGAAGAGCTGAGGGACAGCGCCCAGGCCCAGAGATCAGGCCCCACAACTGACAAAAAAAAAATAAGTAATCATCAAAGCAAATTAATGAAATATTCTTGCTGCATCCACTTAAAAGAAATAATTTTTCTGATCAAAATGTATTACTTAGACCACTGCAGTTCATCCAGAATGAAAAAGAATAAATAACATTAATATACACTACTGTAGATCCCTACATAGAAGAGTATTTCTCATCATATGAATTTGCCCCATCAGTATGGAGCACATGTAAATGCAGTGAAATGTATTGCACATCAATTTTTTCATGTGTTTAAAAATTTACTGGTAGCTAAAGATTATCATTTGTTGTTTCAGATTTGCAGAATCAAATGAGATAATGAGATAGGTAGACAGACAGACAGACAGACAGACAGACAGACAGACAGACAGACAGACAGACAGACAGACAGATAGACAGATAGATAGATAGATAGATAGATAGATAGATAGATAGATAGATAGATAGATAGATAGATAGATAGATAGATAGATAGATAGATCAGACAGACAGACAGACAGACAGATAGACAGATAGATAGATAGATAGATAGATAGATAGATAGATAGATAGATAGATAGATAGATAGATAGATAAAGTTTTTCAGGACCAAATTATAGTACATTAGATTCAATCTTCCAGAAATTTCCGTTAATGATAAACAGACCTTCCAAACACTCTATTAAATAAAAATTTTCTCTAGTCCTGTTTCCTCATTTTTCTTATCTCTAAAATGGGGGGGGGATCTATCATAGGGTTAATCCTATTAAAAAGCAATACCTGAGATAGGAAGGGGAAACAAAGGAGGAGGCTACAATGCTTGATAAGAAATGTACTCATTATCTTGCCCATGTAATTGTAACCCCTCTGTACAGTATTTTCACAATAAAAAAGCAGTACCTATCAAAGATTATTGATAGTCCAAGTAAATACGTGATAACTAGTCAACTCCAAATCATTTCAGATGTTCATTTCCTTTTTAATGCCCTGAAGGCCAACTGAGGCTATCTATCTTTCCAAACCCACACTTGCCTCCCAAAACTCCAACATACATATCTTTCCTACAGCAGTAACACACTGTACTTTATTTTGTTTCACTATATGACTACCACTTAACCAATTTAAATCAATTGTGCACCATTTGTAATATGCTACTGCTGGAGGAACCTGAAGAGTTTAGAAGTGCTACAGACAGATGAATGGTTTTAAGGGCTAGCTTCTAGGTTCAACTCTCACATTCCTAATTTGTTAAAATATATCTGCCTTAAAATACGCTCCCCTTTTTCATTCTCTTCCCTCATAGTTACTTTTTCCCATCTTACTAAAGACCTATGCTTCATTTGTCAGTGATCTTACCATAGAAATTTGCTCTTCAGAACCAAAGACAAATGAGAAATTTGGAATACTGATGATTTCATTAGAATGAGAATGAACTTTTGCAACTGAGGTAGCTTCTGGTTCTTAATTTTCAACAAAATTAAGGTCACTAACCAATAAAAATAATTTTTGATAAAATTAAAACTACATAAAAGCTAGGTTCCCCTAGCTCACACCTGTAATCCTAGCTACTTGGGAGAGTGAGAGCAGTAGGATTGAGCTTTGAAGACAGAAAAGTTTAAAGTCGATCTTAAAATAACCAGCATAAAAACAAGTGGTAGATCACCAGCCTACAAAGTATGAGTACAGCCAAGAAGAAAAGAGGGAAAAGGAGGTGAAGAGAAGTAAGTCTTCAAAAACTACATACATATCCAGGCACCAGTGGCTCACACCTGTAATCCTAGCTACTCAGGAGGTTGAGATCTGAGGATCACCATTCAAAGAAGCCCAAGCAGGAAAGTATGTGAGACTCTTATCTCCAGTAAACCACCAGAAAACCAGACGAGGAGCTGTGACTCAAGTGGTAGAGCACTGGCCTTGAGCTAAACTGCTAAGGGACAGAGCCAAGATCAAGAGTTCAAGCCCCATGACTGACCAAAAAAAAAAAAGTTACATACACAAATGACATTCTTTTTTTTCAGAGGTGACATTCTTGAAAAGGCAAAAATATGGGAGCAATACAATAATCAGTGATTTCCTGATAAGAGCATGAATAGACTGAAGAGAGCATTTTCAAGGCAATGAAACTACTCTATACAACATTGTGATTTTAGGTATACTGTATGTTATCACACATATGCTGAAACTCATGGAATATACAACACGAGAGTGCAGTCTAGTGTAAAGAATAGGTTTAATTTCAAAATAATCTATCAATATTGGGTCAGCAATTGAAACAAATATACCATACCACCATAAGATTATGATAAAATTACAATGGGAGAAAGGAAAACAGGGTACAGGGTAAAGTTATGTGTTCTATAAGCACATAACTTCTAAAAATTAATCTATTAATATTTATTAAATCACAACTTAGTACTTCAAATACTAGCCCCACACTGTATGCAAACTGGTGTAATTTGCTAGAAATCCTCCCCTCCACTGTACCTTAGACAGTGATGAACCAGCTGGAACCAAGGAAGATAACAACCCATACAAGTCATTACTCAAAACAAATTATCTCTAATCTGATAGCCACTCATAAACCCAAGTAAGACCTCACATAGTCAGAAATAAGGATGATTAAGAATGACATTTAGGAGAAAATTTTCACCAATGTAAATGAGTTAGTACTACCTATAATACCATGCTAGTGCTCAGGGAAAAAGGGATAAACTGAATGAAGATGGCAAAATGCCATTCAATGAAAAGCTGCTGAATAATAAGAGGTGGTAGGATGGGGA